GCAACACATATGACATATTTCAGTTAATGTGTGGTGACATCTGGCTGAAATACAGTATATCACAGAAGTGAGTACTCCCCCCAACATACTAAATATTTTAGTATGTCTTTTCATGTCACAACATGGAAGAAATGACACTTGGCTACAATGTAAAGCAGTGAGTATACAGCTTGTATGACAGTGTAAATGTGCTGTCCCCTCAAAATAACGCAGCACACAGCCATTAATGTCTAAACTGCTGGCAACAAAAGTGAGTAGAGTGGTGCCTCGACTTACGAATGGCCCTACCTACGAACATTTCGACTTATTAAATTTTGCTTTGACTTGCGAGCGGAGCCTCGACGTAAGAACAGAAAAAGGCAGGGGGAAAAGGCGGGAAATTCAAACCATTGGTGGCAAAAAAGCTGCTTCTTTGTAGCTCTTTCACCCCAAGGGTTAGAGCAGGGGGTAAGGGAACATTTCTACTCCTGCGGTGCAGGAGGAGGAAGGAGAGGCGGGGGTAGCTCCAGATCGCTACCTGGTACGGGAAGCCAGTGCACTCCCTGCCCATCCCTGGTGTGGATCTACTCTTGAGTAAGGCCTGCCAAAGCCACAGTTCTACTCATGCATAAGGGCCCCCTCCGCCATGGCTGGCCCCACCTGCGCCGCCTTGGTTGCCCTACGCTGCTGGCCTGGGTTTATTGCCAGCCACCAGCCACCGGGGAGGGAGTGCCATCAGAGGAGGCTTCGGTCTGCCTGGTAAGATGCTTTTTTTTTTGCTTTTTAGAAACTTCTGGGTGGGTTTTGCAGGGTGGGTTTTGGCTGAGGGGGGTTATGTCTCTGTGCTGTGTGCTGGAATGGATTAATCCTGTTCCCATGCATTTAAATGGGAAATTGTGCTTTGACTTACGAGCATTTCGACCTACGAACACCATTCCGGAATTGATTAAATTCGTAAGTTGAGGCACCACTGTACACCTCTAAGTGACAATGTTCAAATTGGGCCCAAAGTGTTAATATTTTGTGTGGCCACCATTATTCTCCAGCACTGCCTTAACCGTCTTAGTCATAGAGTTCACCAGAGCTTCACAGATTGCCACTGGAATCCTCTTCTGCACCTCCATGAATACATCACAGACCTGGTGGATGTTAGAGACCTTGTGCACCTCCACCTTCCATTTCAGGATGCGCCACAGATGCTCAATAGGGTTTAGGTCCGGAGACATGCTTGGCCAGTCCATCACCTTTACCCACAGCTTCTTTAGCAAGGCAGTGGTATATTTTGGAGGTGTGTTTGGGGTTGTTATCATGTTGGAATACTGCCCTGCAGCCCAGTCTCCGAAGGGATCATGCTCTGCTTCAGTATGTCACAGTACATGCTGGCATTCATGGTTCCTTCAATGAACTGTAGCTCCTTAGTGCTGGCAGGACTCATGCAGCCCCAGATCATGATGCTCCCACCACCATGCTTGACTGTAGGCACAACACACTTATCTTTGTACTCCTCACCTGGTTGCCACCACACATGCTTCAGACCATCTGAACCAAATAAGTTTATCTTGGTCTCACCAGACCAAGCCAATGTCTGGATATGACGCTGGGCATGGGCACTCAACTTCTTTGGTCAACCATGATGAGGCCTGTTCTGAGTGGAATCTGTCCTGTTAAACCACTGTATGGTCTTGGCCACCATGCTGCAGCTCAGTTTCAGGGTTTTGACAATCTTCGTATAGCCTAGGTCATCTTTATGTAGAGCAACAATTCATTTTTTCAAATCCTCAGATAGTTCATTACCATGAGGTGCCGTGTGGAACTTCCAATGACCAGTCTGAGAGAGTGAGAATGATGACACCAGTGAGGGAAAACGGGTACTTGGGCCCAATTTGGACATTGTCACTTAGGGGTGTACTCACTTTTGTTGCCAGCGGTTTAGATATTAATGGTTGTGTGTTGCGTTATTTTGAGGGGATGGCACATTTACACTGTTATACAAGCTGTATACTCACTGCTTTACAGCGTAGCCAAGTGTCATTTCTTCAGTGTTGTCTCATGAAAATATATACTAAAATATTTATGAAATGTGTGGGGGTGTATTCATGACTGTGATATACTGTACATCCTCTCACTCTGAATTTTTTTTCAAGTGGTGTGACAGAAAGGGATGCTTTGGGTTTGTTTTTGATCAAAGAATTTGACAGTTGTTAGTAAGCATGTTGTTTGTTACTGATTGAATTACAATGATTGAAAATCTGATAAAATACAAAAATAAAATAAAATAAAATAAAAAATAATAATGCAAACAAACACCGAGGCAGCTGTTTGGTCCAGAAACAAACAATATCCAGATTGTTGGTAGTTAACAACCAACATGTCACAAAACTGTGGAACCTTTGAGTACTCTAGAACTCTGCATCAGGCTTTATGATAGCAACATATTAAATAATGGGGCCCACAGGAGGAGGAAGCTCTGGTCTGATTTTGTACCATCAAGCTCTGCCAAGAGGGAGATTGCAGGCTGTACAGAAAAGACAGTTAATCAAAGAGATTATGGCCTGTACAGGATTTAGTGCCATGATTGTCATGTTTGAGTGTTTTTGTTTTGTGTTGCTTGTTTTTAAATTGTTTAAAACATCTTATATTTTAAAAATGTTTATATAGGCTTGTAACCCACCCTGGGAGACTATGATATAGGGTGGACTACAAATGTTTAAATAAAATAAAGTCAGGAAGGAAGGAAGGAAGGAAGGCAGGCAGGAAGGAAGGAAGGATATAGGTAATGGTTGTTTTAGATCTTCGATTATGAGAGGGAGATTTTTTCCTAATGCCCTCCTCATAGATTTATGTTGCAAAGAGTCTATCTAGGATGATATAGTCAGACTGCATTATTCAAGGTGTTTCCATTTACAAGTGAAAGATGGAGGGAAAAGGGAAGCAAAGTTTGGACCTGGATGTGAAAGCAGCTCTGCTGCTAGGGCAGCCCTAGCTCCTTAAACCCTAGCTGAACGGCTCTCATATTCAGGACCAATCTTGTAGTCAAATTGAAACAACTATGACCTGCTGATGAAAGAATGATGGATTCATAAGTATTCAATTTATTACTTTAGTATTTTTACTCCTACAGCGGCAAGAAGTGATTGTGGCCTTTTCTGTCACATGTGTAAAAACAATGTGGTTTGATATGAACAATGAAACTACCTTCTGATCTATTTCAGGGGACAAAATATCATAGGTTGGCCCTGTTCACATCTGTATGTGGGGGTAACCAAAAGTTGAAAATAGAATGATAGATTTTGGACGTGGAAAGCCTTCATGCATAAGTTCACAATATGACATGAAGTTAACAGGATAACCTTCCATAAGATTGCCATGGTGCATTCCAGAAAGAACAGAGTACCTTTATGGTGTTGGACTACAATGCCAGGTTAGGGCTGATGGGAGACAACACATTAACATCATCTGAAGGATCACATATCCCTGCCCCACTGCTTTACAGGCTAGTTGTGAGAATCTGCTTGAAATAAAAACTTTAAGAACATTTCCATAAAAATAACTGTAGGAAGGAAATATTCTATGCATACATAACTAGGCTTCACGTAGCCCTACTCTGACTCCTTCTCATGGTATGGAGGTGGCTTTCAAAGCTGTTTTGACAACTTAAGTATAGGGAGCCTTCAGAAGACTGGTAGTCAGAGAATAAATTGGTTACAGCAACTGTAAATCCTATGATGGTGTGAAATACTGAAATCTGCCTCAACTAAGTAAGGCCTGCACCAATGGATACACTAATGTTCAAGGTATTCAAACTAAAACTATAGCATAAAGAGACACAATGTAACCCTAGCTGATCTCTATGCACAGATCCTAATCTAGCATGGAATACTACACACACACATGTTTAGTACACAAGTTTAATATTTGGTGGCTTAGTGATTGTAGGCTACTGCATTCTTCCACAAGAACCTTCACCCCCACCCCACCTGTTTTTTGATATGGACAAATGGCTTAAACTGCACAGCTTGCATTTTACGCTAGACAGCTAATAACATTTTCTGTTAGAAAACATTCAATGAACAGCTCATTATTTTATGTTCAGGATGCAATTAACTGCAACATTTGCAAATGGGGAATGAGTATTCTTTCTGGTCTGCTGCAGAAAGGCCGGTGGATTACAGTTGCAAATATAACAATTTTCAGTACAGTCCTATACAAGTCTACCCAGAAGTAAGCTCCCTTGAAATAACTGCAACTTACTCTTGGACCAGTGTGTAGCACTGCAGCCTTATTGCCCTTGTATTTTATTTCCTTTATATTGATGCACTACATTTTCTGTACAACATTGCCACATCTCTTTCATACATCGAGTCTAGATTATGCTAGATTTAAGGGGCCCTCCAAGTGTGGAATACTGCTAGGTGTAATTGAGTATTTGATTATAGGGATAAATTTGGTAAGAATCATGCTGCCATGATAACTTCTCACTAACATTTATTTATTCTTACTTTCCCACCAGTCACTGAGTCTGGGATTTGAGGATTCTGGAAGATACCATATGAGAAAGTAACTTTTCCAACCTTTGGATGAGTTACCATTCTAATTTGCTCCCATCTGATTTCAGAAAAGCAATCCTTCCATGGTGTTCAAACAGTAAAGTGTGGAAATAATACTAGATTCCAGGGCTAATCTAAGAAATGGAGTATGATCAAGTCTTTCCTGAATCACTCCACCCCAGGCTGCCACAAGTACGTAGAAGTGAAGGGATTTGAAAGCTTCTCCATTAAACCTGTCAGTAAAAATACTAAGGTATTAATATGTTAGCTTTCTACTTGAAAGGAAGGGTATCTTGTAAAATAACACTGGGTTATTTTGGAGGCTATAGATATTCCATACAAGTTAGTGCAAAGCATCACCCAAGCCTTCTTATATCTTAGTGTTCTACTATGCTAGCAGCCTGCATTTATAATAATAAATCTGTAGTTTCTCATGCTTACAGGTGTTGCTTGATGTTTTAACAAAACACTTACCAACCACAGACATTTCAGGAACACTTGCAGTGTAAACTTCTTCTGGAAATGTTGGTTCATTGTCATTGATGTCATGGATTTTGATGACAAACTCCGATTCAGGTTCCACTGGCCTGAGCGTTCTTCGGTTAATAGCCTGGGCACGTAGAGTATAGAAAGCTTTCTCTTCCCTGTCAATTCTTCTTGTGGCATGAATGTCACCTGTTCTCTCATCAATAACGAAAAGAGTGCCAGCCCCATCTCCTGACAATATGTACTTGAGGGACCCATCTCCTTTATCCTGGTCAGAGTGGAGCTACAAAGAAAAACCGGGATAAAATGGGGATGGGAAGAGAAAGAGGATATTGTTTAAAACAATAACTTTAATAAAACAAAGAGTAAGTTCAAACAGTAAAGTGTGGAACTAATTCTATCTCTAGAAGATAGCACGTCATACAGAGCACTTCAGATGAAAGTTACACTGACAAAGCCAAGTAAATTTCTATTAACTTTGACTTGTGACACAATGGGGTGTGGGTGTTTAACATTAAGCATCTCACTCCCAAACACACATAACACAGAAGACAATCTTTAGAGCTCAGCTCCCATGGCAGATCTTCGTTTTTCTAGCAACACCTGTTCTGTGCTGTGGAACATTTGTGACACAAATCTTAAAGAAGAATTTTATGCTAATACTGACCTTTTCTTTCCCTGAAAAAGAATCTATTAAACATTCACAACCTGCTATGTTAGCTGTAAATTCTCTAAGCAGATAAAGGACATGGTGAGGTACATGATAATTAAGGAAAGCAGAATAACTAAGGTTGGTGGTATACCATTTTTTGTTTGAAACAAAAATTGAAAGCTTAGCATTTGTTCCAGCAGAAAAAAAGGAACATATAGAAAATATGCGGAGAACATGCAGTCTCCCTAGGTACTGTACTTTCTCTGAGTTCTTAAAGTTGCTATATTACAAAAGAAAGCCTAATAAAAAGACAGTTCTAATGAGAAGCTGATGAATTGCCATCATATTCTAGGTCCAAAAGGATCAGAGATGCTCTTACTTTCCCAGCCACAAAAAAGTTTTGTTTTTCTGAACAGTTGAACCTTTTCAGTTGTTCAGTAAAAGGATAGTTTTAGTCCATGAGCACGGGGATTGGGGTAGTCCTGCCCCACTGTGTCCTAGCTCTAATGGACAGAGAGCTAAATCTGAAGAGAAGAGCAGCCTCTATGCAAGGAGCAGCTCCACGTAATTGGGTACCCTGATTTTTCAGATTTTCTGATTGTGTGGAGAAACCTCTTGGCTAGAAAGTGGTTTCCTTTACCTACTTAGCTCTCCATGTGTGAGAGCTAGGGTGGGTATTGGAGGTGGTCTGCCCCTTGGTTAATATTCACTCTGTTAATGAATGGGAAATGAATAGGGCTAGAATGATTCATGAAGCTTAGTGGCAAGGGACAGTGCATTTCTGCCAAACCCCTGCAATTATCAATGCTTCAGTGCCTGCTCAACCTGAGGAACCTCCAATGAGTATTCAGAAGTAACCCAACAGTTACAGCATGACTTCCCCAGAGATGTTCACCTAGCATCTATTTTGTTATCTCCTAGGCAGTGAACAAGGACCATTTTAGTATCTCAAGCCTTTTCATCATCTATACAGTTCCATGGCTTTGTTCATTATTAAATAATAGCTTTTTTTGCTGGCGCTTTTAGATCAGAGCGGGGGGCATCTGGTCCATGCGCCTAATCCAGTCCATGAACAATTTTCTTACCTTGTCTGTGGAAGCTCCCAGGCAAGCCCCTTCCCTAACCTAAGGCCTGTGTGTAGATGATAGTGAAAACATCAGGGATTCTCCGCAGCATTCACTCTTTATCTGGGATGGTGAGCGCTATACACCCAGCTGGCTAGGTAATCACTTAGATAGTTCTCACAGGAGTTGTCTGAGTCCCAAAGGAAGGGCTTTACTAGTTCCAAGAAATGCCAGCTCAGTTCATATTGCTCCTCCTATGCCTTCCCCATGTGGAGAAAGCACAGAAAGTGTAGAGCCAGACACACACTCCAACTGACTCTTATTCTAGATTTAACTTTCAATCAGGAACTTGTGTAAGGTACCACTGTACTAAAACTCTCCTGACTCCTTCTCTAAACATAAATATACTCCAGCACATATCACCTGTTACTTTCAAATAATGATACAGAAACAGATTATCAAGCAATCATTCCTCAGTCATATCCTAGCTAGTTACTACAATCTTAAACTCTCTCTCTGTCTCTCTCCTTCTCAATCTGCAGTTCCCTTTTTTTGAAATTATTCTCTAAGTCTTGCTGAATTCTTCTTTTTTGGACATAGTTAAATGGCTACCCTTTTCTATTCAATGGGTATTTTGAGGAGTAATTTCCCTTTACTCATAGTGCCTTTCCCATTCCATTTTCTCTGTATTCGCTTGACTTAGTGTGCAATAGGAAAGACAAACAAAAGTCCTCCCTGCTTTTATTTTTCTACAAATTATTAGAACCCTCCTTCATGTTTAGCCGATCTTCTTTATCATCCTCAATCTGTAGTGGGCCATGGACCAAACATTTGGGGGATAAGATATCTGCATGATGAGCCTCTCCTTTCACTTCAGTCGCACTCTACTGGTGTCCCTGTTACTGATCTAAAAGCACCAGTAGGTGTGCTAAAGCCAAAGGCCTCAATTCTTTCTACATCAGTCACCTCCAGAAAGAACATTTTGACTTCATGAGAATACAGAGTAATTTTTTTTTATAAATGAATGATTGGACACTTTTTTTCACTATAATAAATTCCTTTGATGTCATTGGAGGAAGGAATTTTTAATTTCTCCAACAGGGCTTGAATTTAAAATCAAAGATGGCTGTTTTAATCTAATATTATTCACAACACTTAAAGTAGAAATGAACCCCTGACTTCTATGCCTTCTATGTTGCAAGTTCAAGGAAATAGTTTGGGGCTTTTTTTTTCCTGGAGCAAATAGGCAGCCATACAGTTCTGTTCCTAATGACCATATTTGCATATTGATGCCATTATATTTAAATGTTAACAGCGGCAACTTTTGTGTGTGCAAGCAATCTGCTAGACATTTGCATGCTATAAAATGCATCCTGGATAACATATATCAGGAAATATACATCAAATTTACAGGGAAGATACTTCAGAAGTCTCTATAATCATGCTTTAGAATGAACCAAAGAATCATGACACACTTTGGGGTTGGTGGGAACAGATTTTATGTTCTGGAAAGCTGTCTCCCTCTTCCCTCCCCAACTTTAATTTAGAACACAGAAGCATTAGGTTGTTTTTGTTTTTAAAGAGGCATTTTTGTCATCCACAAATGGTAATATCCAATATTAAGCAGTACTGAAATATATCCCAATCTCAATTTTGACTCCATGGAAGGAAAAGATAAATGATAGGTCATAACTATAAATGATAAATATATAAAATAAATGTTCTAATGCATCTGCTCCCAGGACCTGCTGTAGAGTCACACTCTAACCTAAAATTGTTTACAGTAGTGGCAGCATTATTATGTAAGTATCAACAGTGAAAATCTATAGTAAGGGATTGACAACCATATCAAGTTATTTTTCTTCCACTTTCAGTTTTGTTTTAATTTATGGAATTTGTCAATTTTGGGATTTTGCCAACAAAACTGATTCAAATGGAATTCTTAACTACTTTCATTCACCAAATTCAATAGGTACAGCTATTTCCAGTGAGGTGGGGACCATGTTGTAGTTGCCAGCCATTTTGGGGGGTGGGTGGCTGGGATTTACTCAGAAGTGAATGGCTCAGCAACTAGACTTGCAAATGAAGCCCATAACCTTCCAGTGACAAATCACAAACTGAAACAAACACAGTGGTGCCTCGCTTAACGATTTTAATTGGTTCAAAAAATTGTTATGTGAAAACATCGTTAAGCGAAACACCATTTCCCATAGAGATGCATTGAAAACCAGATAATCCGCTCCAATTGGATTACCGTCCAATTGGATTACCGTCCTTAAGCGAAAATCACCATAGGAAAAAACATTAAGTGAAACGCGGTTCCCCAATTGAAATGCATTGAAGCCTTTTCAATGCATTTCAATGGGGGAGAAAAAAATTCACAAAAAATTCAAAAAGACTCAGAACAAAGCCAAATTAATTTAACAAAGGTTTTATTAGGTGCACTAACGATTCCAAGCATTTTAAACATTTTTAAACATTTTAGAATATTTTAAAAATAGTGAAAACGGGGCTGTCAAAAAAATCATTAAGCGAAACAAGGGGACCAAAAACCTAATCGTTATGCGAAGCATGGTCCCGAAATTGTTAAGCGAAAATCAACCATAGGGAAAATTGTTAAATGGAGTGCAAAATCGCTCCGAAAAAGCCATCGTTAAGCGAATGTCTCGTTATACAAAGCAATCATTAAGCGAGGCACCACTGTATACCGAACGATTTACAGCTAAGTAAAAGCATGTGCTATGACAAACATAAGTCTTTCGATAGTGGAGGCAGCAGTTCTAGTCCAACCTTCAGCTGCTTATCTCAATATGTTCTGTCTTGACTTGTGAAACTGTGTGAGCATCCAAGAAAGAATTCTACCTAATGTTCAGGTCAGACAGGGTGTTGGTGCTAAAAGACCAATGTCATGGGAGAATGAAGACAGTCCTTGGGGTTTGAGGATGCATTGCAACACTATGTAACAAAACCTCTTCCTAGGCCGGGTCTATACACCAGGACAGCTGCCAAGGCATCCAGGAAAATTTTTGTCGAACAACAGGGATAGCAACAGATGGGCTTCCCAAGGATCTGGATTATAGCATGCATAATCCTTTGAATAGCTTTTGAACTGCAGAGCTAGAAGGGACCCTATGGATCATTGAGTCCAGCCCCTGTGTAGGAGGCACAGTGGGGAACTGAACTCTCAACCTCTGGCTGCAGAGCCAGAGACCTAAACTACTGAGCTATTACCATTGGCCAGCTTTCTGGGAGATGAAGTCAAAATAGTTCTGGAGGCAAAGGTTCATCCATCCCCCTGATTCTCAATTATGTCTATGAGATGTATATTCGAAAACAACCCTTGGGTAAGCATCAGCAGTCACAAAATGTCTGCCCTAAATAGTAATTAATTAGATAGGGAATAAGGCCATTGGATTAATAGCTCCTGCAGTAGCTAGATGTCTCCTCTTTTTTTTCCTCTTGCAAACATTTTCACTCACTAAAAAATCTAAATAAAAACAAACAAACAAAACTCAAACATTAAATGATGGAAAGTTTTCTCAGGAATTGAAAATGCTTAGAAAACAT